CGGAGTCTGCACGCTGCATACGACGTGCCCTGTTCGGAATACCATCAGTACATGCATACTGAACGAAATTAGAAAGAAATAGAAAACAGAAATGAGAAATCGAAACACACCTGGTCACTTTTACTACTAATACTGCATATGCTCCTACATACAGCAGAGCCGGCCGAAGATGCAATGTCATTATCAAGCCTCGTACTGGACGAGCAGGCCATTGGCGTCTGCAAAACATTGAAATTTCAGCTCAAAGTTGGAAAATACTGTAAATGCGCCGATGAATTCGGACAAGACCGACTATAAAGAGAGGTGACGAACGGCAAAGAAACAAGTAGCTGTAAGACCCCGTCACACCTAGCGCAACTGGAGAATCAGAATCAGTGAAAATGATTAGATACGTATCGATCGATTTCTATTCTTCGATTATACACTTCAGCGCAGTCGATCGATACGCATCTAGTCTTTTTCGTCTTTTTCGTGGTGCTTCAGTGGGTTGCAGGGCTCTTTCACTGCGACGGTCTAGAGATATTTTCTCGCATCTTCTCGGACAGTTGAAGAGAAGAAAATAAGGGAGAGGAAAAGAAGGAAATAGAAAGAAAAAGGAAGGAGGATAAAGGCCGCTGTTGACAGATATTCTGAGACGGCTCCAGTGCCGCGAGGTGGGAACACGGCTTTATCACAACCATTCTTATCAGCAGGGTTGACCTGTTGACCAACGTCTGGACGCCATTCTGCCCCGCTTGGTCACTATTTTTCCTATTTTGGGCTACATGTGTACGTTCAGAGTGTACAAATGGAGCAAATTTGGAAATAATTGTGAGAGTGCGAGAATAAAAATCAGGCGAAAGTACGAACTCAACACTTAAAACAAAGCATGCTTTCTTATAGCTTAGTCAAGAATGATTTTTCAATGGTTAGGCTCGGCATTCACAATAATGTTGAGAGAAAGAGGTTGCCCATTCCCAGGTTTGCTAAGATTTTTCAAAATTTCAGTTACAGAACCGGAAAGAGAGAGAACTATGCCAAACATAAGAGCGAAATCCACAATCCATTCACGATTCTGACATGATGTGATCACAAAACACCAGGAAAACCATAGAAGTGAAAAAAATCGATTATTTGTTTCCACTACAGTTAATATTTTCTTTTTTGGAAAGATCAAACATTCGATTGTGGGTGGATATCTTTACTGCAAGTATATAAAATCGGCTTCATTATACATGCCACCATTTTTTATTAGTAGGTTATCCTTGAAATGGAAATGAACCACCTGATGCCTCCCAACCTCCTTTACTGAGTAATGGTCACTACTGTCCATATAGGAGCAATTAATCCACACTGTGTGGCTGAAGAAACAAGAACCATTTATGGCTGTGAGCCTCAAAGAAACTCGTGCAAGACCAATGATGTGAAAGTAACACTGAATAAAAGCAATGGAAGATCGGAACTCAGGCACGAACCAAGATTAGCTCGAGGAACTTCAAAATAAAATTCTTGCCGCCGATTGTGAAGCAGTTTGTAATACGCCATTCTGCAGACCGTACTTCCAACCCCGTCTGGGGGCGTCCTGTCGTTGCGGGGAAATTTTGGCAAGATACGACTACCCAAAATTTCCTCCTCTGGTACAAGGCATCCCCCACTATCCCAACCATCAACTTACCATCTTCCTAAATCCTCCCATCACCTATCAGTTCCCGGTTTTTTTTCCAAAAATTCTACTGTTTTCTCCCTAAAAAACTGCCATTGAGCGGGGCAGGGGCGACCCAAATACAGCAACTCCCGTGGGGTATCCTCAACGTACTCTGAAATCTCAGGGTACGGTCAGGGTTTCGCTGCAGACAGTCAGTGAAGAAAATCTAGCAGATTCGGAGGTGTTATTCGGCTCGAA